AGACGGCGAGATTGTCGACGATGTTTTCGACATCTCGCCTCCTGCACAAGATGTGGGTCAACATGACGACGGTGCTACTACAGATTCAGCTGATCCGGGCCCCTCTGCAAAGGAGCGAGAGATCATGACGAGGCTGATACGAGTCGAAGAAGATAATTCCTTAATGAAAAACATGATGGTCCAAATGTAAGACATCATTGTTCAAAGATAAGTGGGGTTAACAAAGTATGCTCTCTGAACGTGGTTGAGGGTTAATCACCATTGTCCGTTGAGAATCAATGCACTTCAGGAACTCCTTGCTCGCATCGCACACCCACAGACTGGAGCGCATCGAGCAAATCGGCAAAGAGCTTTTGAGGCGAAACCCGGCCAAACAGAGTCAAGGTTTGCTTGCAAGTTGTGTATTCATAAGGAAAAATTTTGCCAGTGCCCACAACCTCTTGTTCTCCTTGACTGTCCGTTTAGGGTGCTGATAACCTCCAGTTGTGTATTCGTTCAGGGAACATCGTTTATGCATATGTTAGTGCGAGGGCCGTGGCCGAGTTGCGAGAACTAGAAAGGGCAGAATAGAAACCATTTCGCGCTGGCCCTGGAAAAAATGGTCTACAGAGACGATCCAAGGAAATGGAGTTACTCGTAGATGACCGTAGTGAGAAAGAGAGAGTTCTCTTTATTCAACAGGTAAAATGAACTACGGCAGGTTCAGATATTTGTTGAAAGATTGTGTCGTTCCAGTGCGTTCACAAGTATTACGACATTCCCGAACATTTACGGGACGACGTTTGGAGGAAAATCGAGGAAACGCTTAATAGTCGCGTTAGGAGGCTTAGAAAAACTATAAGGAGATGGACAGAGTTCTTCTCAGGGCTCACGGCCACGAAGACGATACGTTCTGCCGTTTAGATTTATATGGTTAAATCCATTTCAACATTTGTGGTAAGAATGCAGGCATGTTCTCGTTATAACAAAATTGCGACGGTGAATGAACTTGTGAATGTGCTATGTTCTGTTCAATACACTATCGAGTACTCGGAGTAATCAATACGAGGCGTTTCGATCGATACGGGATTTGTGATATTGACGACACCCATGAAAAAACTTGTCTTGGCATGTAACAATCGATTAAGCATTCAGCCACCTTGTGTGGACCGCGGCAGTGAACCAAAGCCTTCATCACCAATAAGTCATGCGAGAGCACGCGCACAACAAATGGCTTGGCGTAGTGGTAGTGCTCGCACTTCAAACTCTGATGAGGAAAGTTCGAATCCCTCTAACTAAGGATCATTTGCAAAAGTCACATATATGTCTTTCAGCTATGCTCCGCTTTCCTTTACTCACATAACATGTGAATAATGGGCTTGATTATCCGTGAGCTTCCGTTACAGAAACACCGCAGAACGTATGTGTGAATGAAAAATTCTACGGGAAATGAGTGTCCTGGTATCTCTAAAAAAATTAAATGATGTCACATCGTGCTGTTCGATGATATGTGAGTTGTGTCAACGCGGATACATGGCCACGGCAGAGCCAATAGAGATCGATGGCGAGCAATATAGCAGCTGCACTCGCATGTCAGCGAACATATTAACGAGGTGCGACAAAAAGAGATCACCGAATAAAAGAAAGAGTTACTCATCAGGTATTAACCATGACCTATGGTTAACAAAGTGCTGTTTTTAAGAACCGCTCCACTTTCCGTGTTTTTCTGAGTTCTTTTTTCGATCTCGCTGAAAATTCAATTTCAATGCAACTCAAGGAGTTTTAGAAATAAGCAGGCCGGTTTTATGACGTTTGGTGATATGTATGCGCCACTTTGCCAGTCCGCTGCATAGCAGACACAAACGGAGAATCACAAAGTTCGTGCAACGATCCCAAACCGTTGCACGAAACTTTGTGATACCGTGTTTCAAAGTAAGTAAATGATCAACGCTCAGACTACCCACCTTGCAAATTTTCTTCGTTCCGTGATAGAGGATCGCCGCTTATCTCTATAAGCTCGGAGAAGAATGTTTTCGCTGAGGGTTGGGCGCGCGAAACACTGGATAAAACAACCACCTGAACTTGAATTCTCAGCTGAACTTCGCGGAAACCCTGCAGAATCTGGTATTGAAATGATCGCAGAATCATGCTCGTCTCGAATCTGTTATCATAATCAGCGTTTAAACGCTTCATTTGGAACTCGTAGCTGATCAATATAGAGATTGATCAATGCCCTGACACTTCGGTGGGATAACTAAATACTTAGGAGGGTATCGATTGACCGCTGAACAAGGGCAGATAGCGCGGAAAACGGAAAGGTGCAGGAATTTGCACGAGCGTGATTCTTTACTGAATCTAGATTAGAATTTTCCAGACAGGTTCGAAGTGGTGCTTGGACTGGGCGATTTCTTCCTTGAAAAACGGTAAATTGTTGTCTTGAAATGGAGGGTCGCCGAAGTTGCCCACCCATAACAACAACCAGCTCTAAATACGCCATTTGTTTTCCACCAAATTTTTTTGTTTTTGTTGAAAAGCACAGAACGTTCTGTAGGCGGCTTTTTTATGGAACATCTGGGGCCACTCAAAGTGCCTGAAATCATGTTTGAAAACGCTGAAAATCGAGCATTTGTTCTAGTATCGCACGAAGTGCCCATTTCAAGTAGTTGAAAAACCCTTCTTTTTGGTTTCATTCTTGGAATTCGCAAACGTTAGAGAAAACAGGGCTCCATACATTAGGTACGTTGTGCTCGTGTGGTCCGAACTGAACCACTGCTCGAGATTTTCCGGACTGAAAAGGCTACATCGTCCGAAAGTGGCATCGAGCGAAACCGCTCATTTTTAGGAAAAATACACCAAATCAGCAGCATTTGGGAAAACACAACTATCTAGTTTTTAATCACTGCTCACGTGATACAGTTCGTTGTTTGATGCCACAATGATTTAATTCCCAATGTTTACCCTCAGATTTTAATAATAGCGAGACTAGCTCGCTAACGAGTGTCCTCAGGTACTTCGATAGGAAGCACAGTTCAATTTTCGACTTTTTCAGTTTTTTAGGAAGCCAGCTTATAGAATTCGACGAGCTGTGTCTAACAGTATAGGGTTTCATATGAGAAGAGTTAAAAAACGGAAAAAAAACGCGGATCTGCGTTCTTTCATTTTTTTTCGAACAATTCTAGGTATTGTACTTCCGGGTATTGTACTTCCAGGCTATTCGTTATATTTTAGGGAGCCAATGTGAGCTTTCCAAGATCGGTGGCTATGAATCATATACTGTTCCTCAAGCCGATTCAAACCGGCAAACTAAAGGAATAAAGTTGCCGGTCAGCGAACCATGATTTCCAGCTGAACATTGCTGATTGCTGAAACCCTGTCATGAAAAGTATCAAAATGATCACGGAATCATGCCCTCTCTGAATATGCTGGTATTTATGGCTTTGTGGCACTTGGTTTGAAGTTCATAATTGGACTGGAGGGTTTACGACGCAGCCGTGTCTGCAGGTAACACCTTGGGTCACTGGAGACTCAAACGTCAATTTCCTTGGGAAAAACGTCAAAAAATTGAAGGAAAGTGGAAGCTCCATACATCGTTGGATTCGTCTTGTACAGGGCTATCGGATGGTCTGAATTTCAGATCATTTGGACCTCTTCACAGAAGTTATGGCAAAACGACGGTTTGCGACGGAAAAATCTGTCGCAAACCGTCGATTGACCACGAATTAGGAGCGGTATTGTAGTCAAAACGATTGAACTGGACAATTGGGCAAGTGAATCGCTCGGAACATCTAAAGAAGCGAGCTCAAAAAATGAAGTCACATGGTCAGCAAGGGGTTGTAGGACTAACGGGGAAGACACACTCGAAATGGGCGGAGCGTACTTGAGATGGGCGTGTTCTCAAAGTTCAATAACTCTCTCGAGAATCGAATTTGCAACGCCCATTTCGAGTGTGTCTTCCTCCAGTTAGCCCGACAACTCCTTGCTAACCGAATTGCCCTTTTGTCCCATCTCTGGGCTGCTCTGGAAGCGAATCATGAATATTTGTCTGCGGTGCCGCCAAGCTTCAACGCCTGCCTCGCCCGCAGTGGGCGTAGCTTCGGACAGGACTTTCTTCTCAACCATAGGGTGCTCATTTCAAAAATTTGTAGCTCGGTTCTAGAGCACTCCAGACACCGGAGAAAAGTGGAGTAGCACCAGCAAAGGATCACCAAATTGGAGTGTGTTGTACACATGCTGTGGGCGGGGCGTGCACTGGGGTGAGCGGAGCCAAACGAAAAATCTTGCGTCACGGTAAGCTGAGCCAAACCAAAAATCTAAAAAAAAACGGTTCCAGTGCACTCCAGACACCGGAGGAAAACGGAGTAATGCTAGCAAAGGGTCCCCAATTTAGCAGTGTGGGGTACACAAGTTGTGGGCGGAGCGTGCGCCGAGGTGAGCGGAACCAAACCAAAAATCTTGCACCGAGGTGGGCGGAGCCAAAAGAAAACTCTTAATAAAGCGGTTTCAAAGCACTCCAGACACCGGAGAAAAACGAAGTAATGCTACTAAAGGATCACCAAATTGGAAGTGTGTTGTAAACATGTTGTGGGCGAAGTGTGCGTCTAGGTGAGCCGAGAAAAACGAAGAAATCTGAAAAAGAACGGTGTCAGTGCACTCCAGAGACCGGAGAAAAACGAAGTAATGCTACTAAAGGATCACCAACTTAAAGGTTGTACACATGTTGTGGGCGAAGTGTGCGTCGAGGTGAGCCGAGCCAAACCAAAAATATGAAAAAACGGTTTCAATGCACTTCAGAGACCAGAGAAAAACGAAGTAATGCTAGTAAAGAATCACCAAGTTGGAAGTGTGGAGTACACAAGTTGTGGGCGAAGTGTGCGTCTAGGTGAGCCGAGAAAAACGAAGAAATTTGAAAAAACGGTTCCGGAGGATAAAACACTGGCCTGTACATCGGCAGGCCACCGCAAGTCATTGTTTAGGCCTAATAGCATTCAATAAGCCACTGAGATTCTGAATGGAAGTAGAATGCGTGCATCCCACAGAGGGGTTGACAACGGCGGAGACTTCATCCTTTACCTTTTTTATTAATTCATGACGTCGTTGTGGGAGGCCATCGTATTTCCTGTCATCGCCCGTTCCCCACTTCTGCGCTGGCAGGTTGCTTCTGTCTTGTGTGGGTCTCTTCAGAGGTTCTTCACATGGATAAGTCTTTCATCATTGAAGCTGAACGACATCTGGGTATCGCTGCACCCTCACTTCAGAGGTCACTGCACTGTGCACTTACGACCCCCCCTCCCTCGAGGTCAAATACGCCCCCCCCCCTGATGTGATGATCACAACGACGGCGTGCCCTGCCGCAGGGTCTGCTGCGAGTCAGCATTCTCGTATGGCTCTTCCTTGCAAGGAGGGTTCCTTCTCAGATGTTTCATTGTCTGGGAATTTCATCATGTGAAAAACCAGAAAAATACAGCACACACCCATAATAATAATAATAATAATAATAATAATAATAATAATAATAATAATAATAATAATAATAATAATAATAATAATAATAATAATAATAATAATAATAATAATTAGTAGGGAATGATGGC